GTCTAATCTTCCTTCTGTCTGTCTGTCTGTCTGGCTGTCTGTCTGTCTGTCTGTCCGTCCGTCCGTCCGTCCGTCCGTCCCAGAATAACTCTGGAACGCCTTGAGCAATTTCAACCAAACTTGGTACACAGATGACTTACTCTCTGGAAACAAATACTGTGGGGGTAAGACATTCCCAACACCCCTCGGGGTATGTGTTCTGTTAAGATACAGACTGTTGTGCCTTAAAATGGTTTCTACTGTACTGCCATAAAATAGCTTCTCCTGTACAGCGCAGTGGAGTTGCCATGGTAACAGCTTCACAGTACTCCACAAGGGAGCTCCCTCTGGTAAGGGGGGAAATCCAACATTTGAAATTATGTTCGGTCCAGACATTTTCCCCCTATAAATACATACCTGGGCAACTCCAGGTTATTGGCTACATTAAAAAAAATATGCCAATAACAATCATCATTATATTATGCTTCGTATTTTATTCTGACTTTTACTAAAAGTCATAGTTAAGATGAAGATGAAACAATTACATTTGCAGGCAGTTTGTAGTATATTCTGTAATAACAACTATGCTTATGATATTTTTGCAGGGTAAACCTAACTTTCTGATTTTTGAGGAAATTATTTTACTCTGAGTAAACTGTAGAATAAAAATACTTACATATTAAGTTTTTGAAATTCAGAGTCCAATAATCCGAAAGCCTTTGTAATCATTTTTATTGCTTGGTTACATACAGAATGGAAATCCTGGAGCTCTTCTATCTATATGGGAAAGTATTAATTAACAGTGCTTCAACTTCCATCAAAAACAAAATGTGAGTAATAATTAATTAATATATCCATGCCTTGTAATATCTTTTAAAAATTTGTCAAACCTTTTTCATAGCATTTTTTTTACTATTTGGCCTGATGACAGCACTGAAGATAGGATGATGATGATGATGCTAACTGTTGCATTTCAATCTGGAACTAAAATTCTGAAAATGAATGTTTCATCATTTTGTGCTGTGATTAACTCCAGACATGATAATTTAGCAATTGTACTGAGACAGTGAGTGCATCTTACTTTTGTATCTGATTCTCAAACAGTATATGATACAGCTTGGAGTAGGAGTTGAGGAAATACTTGACATTTATTCAGTTAATAAAATTAATAATACTCATAATGAAATGTAATTACTCTATTCTGTTACAACATAATGCCTGCTATTTAGCAACCATTTCTCAACATTCAGTGCTAATTAATTCATTTGCCAAGGAGTATATCATGACGACAAATATTTAATTGCTAGTTTAATAGCTAACTGCAGAGTAATTAATCTGTTAAGTAAAGATGATACTGAGGTAATCTGGGAAATCTTTATAAGCAAATGATTTAAAGAACATTTAAATGGGTCCCTCCTGCAAATTTTATTCTGAAATGACTTGCAATATTTTCAGGCAGCTTTCGTAGGAGACCATGTATGTAGGTCAAATGCTAGATAGGCAGAAAAAAATACATAAAACAGACCTTGCCCGAGCAGTTCAAGTGCAGCTGCAGTCAAAAGAATTCACAATATTTAACAATTATTCAACATTATATTTGTTTATTAACCTTCACAATGACCATTATCTCTGGTTGGGTACATAGGCAATATTCATCCCATCCAACCATTGTTTGAACCTCTTTTATGGAATGTACACAAGAAAAATCAGCACAGTCTAATGAATGTTTCCTTACACAATCCTTGGATTTGTTTATCTGTTTTAAAAAAATCTGCACATTCCTTTTCCTCTAAACTAATGACTAATTATTTAGAATAAAGTAAAGGAGGTCTTTGGCAGATAACCTATATTTTTCAGTTTAGGAAGGTTCGAAAACCCCCACGCCGTCAACAAAATGAGGAAATAATCAACTTTTTTGCTGCTTGCATTGATTGAAAGTTATGGAAAATATAAGGGTTATAGCTGGAACTGTCTCTTTTCCTAGAGAAAGGCACAAAAAATGCTTTCAGGCAGAAAATTAATCCCTTTCCTCCACCTTGAGGGCAGATTTAAGATTGCCATATGTCAAGGGTCTCCAAACTTGGCAATTTAAGACTTGTGGACTTCAACTTCCAAAATTCCTCACCCTGCATTGGCGGCTGAGGAATTATAGGAGTTGAAGTCCACAGATCTTAAAGTTGACAAGATTGGAGACTCCTGACATATGTCTATGCTGCTTCTTCTCTCTTCTCTTCCTTTTCAATCTCATCAGGCATATGTTAGAAGTAATAACTTGCCTTTTCCTAAGTGATTCCTGTTAGAATTGTTAATAACCTCAATTGTTACTAACCTCAACTACTAGCACTTGTAACCATGACAAATGTCCATCTTTTCCAAGTTTCAAAAGCAGTCAAGAAAAAAAAAAGAATTAAAGTGGGAAAAGACAAGTCTGGGTATGGATCATATGAGTGAGGCAGAGACTGCAGTGATAGGATAAAATACTTTGACAGTATTTGTCCTTGCAGTTATTTAAGATATTCTCCTGTGTAGATAAGTCCTGGAAATTGGAAAACTAGCAAACAAGAAATACCGTATAACATTTCCCATTTTTGTCCCAAAAGCAAAAATCAAACCGGCGGAGTGGCAAAAGTACCATAAATGTTCATGGTGTCATTAACTTGTCACTTGAGTTAGATTATCTTTCTATACTCCAGAATTAAGTAACCATGGGAGAATTGCTGAAGTGGATGTGATGTTTTGTATGTCACAATTGTAGCTCACTGTAAAGCAAATGTTTCCAGGCAGGAAATATTAGCTTTAATCTTAGCCTTGCTACCAATTCTACAAAAATTCCCACCAGGCAGTGTTAGCAATATCGATCTATGAGGTGAATCAATAGTCCAAAACTAACATTAGACAAGAACCTATGTTCCTGTGCATGTACCTGTACAAAGGGGGGGGGGGGGAGTCCTTAGCAAGAAGGAATTTCTTATAACAAAAAACCTTGGAAACCAATAAAAGAGAAATTCTGGATAGATGTGTATATTTTGCTGGGTTTATAGTATTCAGATACACCCAAGGCATATGCTTAGAGCGTAAAATGTAACCTGCCACTTTGTAAAAGTTCAACTAACGGATGAACATCCTTGTTTTGGTTATTTTTTTTAAAAAACCTTCTGTCTAGTAACTACCTTGTTCTAATAAAATATATGCGCTAACAAAACTGAAGTAACGGTAAGTCACTTACTGCAGCTGAAGGTGCTGGTGAAACTGATGCAGGCGGCGAAGAATGTTCTTTCAATTCATATTTCACCTTAGGAATTTTGGTGGCAGTGAAACTGTATGTCAAACACAGCATATATTAAAAGCCAGTTTAAGTTAAACTTACATGAGTCACAGTAGTTATTCAGGAGAGATTTGTTTCCCATCTTACTATACATACATACATACATACATACATACATACATACATACATACATACATACATACATACATACACACACACAGAGAGACACATATATAAATATATAAATAAAACTCAAGTGTTGGATTTTGGAACTGTAACTGCTTGGAGGAATAATTCAATAGAACATGTGCTGTCTGTATATACATAAAATCTCCTTTGAATTGCATTCAATGTCTGGTGATTGATGCGTGTAAGTAATTTTCTTGGCAACAAATTGGAAGTGCTTTAAGCATTGTCTTTTTCTGGAATTATTTTGTGGGGATTCTCCAATGTAGTCTGCAAATTTCACTCAAACATACTGGACTTTCAATTTTACAGTCTTGGGTTGAGTGAGAGGAACTAGATCCAAAGTCACTGACTTCTGTGCCAAAGATGAACTAGAACATGGTCTCCCTATTCCTATTACAACACCTTAACTACCCCACCACACTGGCACTTTCATTGAGGAATAATAAAACTTTTTAATTTTTTCCTGACCCCAGCTTTATAAAGCTTCTTGAATAATGCCCCTAGTCTGAAAAGGACCAACCTTTATCTATCTCCAGCAGAGGGAGAGGTTAGAGGTATATAACTGAGGGTAGATGATGAAGACTATCTCTTTCTCAAAGGAATATGTATTGGGAATTTCTGTAGTCTGGAAATGAAATATGCATTTTTGTAAAATTGCTAGCTGGTAAAGGTAGGTCCATTTAACTATAACCTTATAGGTTAATTGTTAAACTGTGCCCCATGTCCAATTTTCAACCAGTACAGATCTGTTAGTGTACACATTATGTGAAACCTAGATTTACATCCATCAGGAATATATTGTTGCATATTGCACTGATTGTAATTTCCAGATACAGCACAATCTTAACTGGAGTTTGCTCCAATTTTCAAGAGGCATGAATCTGTTATTTCATTGTTTCACATAAATGAGACCTTTATTTTATGAATGTTTTACAACTGCTTCCTGTGGGCTACTCCACTTACGAACTAAGTTTGGATAAACTTGGTCATTAACTTTGTTTCATATATTTAATTTGTTATAATAACTTGCATCACGTAAGGTGCCAAATTTGTTAATGCCACATGAACCTGACTTGTCTGCTACAGTTCTTTGGAACTATATTTTGTAACAATAATCCTTATTAGGTGAATCGCTAAACAAATAATCTACGATTCTGCCAAAATTAGAGTATTATTACAGCAATGGTTTGTTTATAAATTATAGTTAGCTTGTGATTTCTGACTTGACATTATTGGATGTTTCTGATTTATTTTTATAATGATTGTATAGCATTTGTGTGATATTTTACATTATTATTATTATTTACTTTATTCATTAAACATGAAACTCAGTCAACTGAACATTCAAAAATGCATCACAAATACCATTGACTGGTGCTAATGCTTGATACGGATTACTGCCAGTGTCCTAGGTATCAACCAAGTACCTTCTTAAGATGTACTATGTTCCAAGTAGCACAGTTTTTTGGAGTTCCGCTGGTGTTATTGCAGGAAGCTGCAATTTCTTGATGTGTTTTATAAAATTCTTGGACATGGTACAAAGTGCCCTGATGACAATGGGTATCACTGTTTTGACAATGGGTATCACTGTTGTTATTATTATTATATTATTTTATAGATTTAATCTTCAATTCAATTCACAGTCTGGGATTGGTAAAAACGTAACAGTTCAAATCCTAACCCAAAACCAAAGAGCTGTTAAGGTAATGTCTGAGTATATATGCAGTTCTGAGTAAGCTAGTTTTTTTGCAAAAGCAGGTTGTTGTTATTGTTATTATTGAATTTAGTGACACTGATTCAATGGCCTACTGACCACATGGGTTTCCCTTGTCTTTTACTCTGCATGCCCTGTTTTTATTCCTTCTATTGCTGTTCCAACATACAAAGAGTCTTTTGCTTGCTGACTCTACCTAATACTTTTAAGATGCAGCTAGGTGGGTGGTCAGCTGTGCCCATCCTTCTCCATGTATTGCCTTAAATAAACTTTTTTCCGTATTAAATCTGCATCACTGATCCATGTTCAGGCTAGATTTGGCTATTGGGAATATTTATGCACACAAATTTGCTTTCTCCAACCATTTCATTATTATTTTCAGGAATTTCCTCTGATTTTAGATATGCTATTCAGTAAGCTGCTATTATTATCATTAGCTTTGAAGGCTGAGCTGAATAACTGATAAATATCACTAAATAGTTATATGTTATAATGGATAAATCATTTGGATTAATTTTGAACTGAAACACCTTATTACAAAACAGCCCATTGCAAGTATGAGACAGCTGTTCTGGACTAAAATCAGCTGTGTTTGAACTGGAAATGGTCTGTTTTGAGATCAAAAGAGGATTTCATTTCATTTCATTTATTAAAATTTATAGGCCGCCCTTTTCCCTGAGGGGACTCAGGGCGGCTTACAATCACAAGGGAGGGGGGTGCAGTATCAAAAGACAAAACAAAATGTGAACAAAGAAAAAATAATAAAACACAACTTTCGTTCAGCAATCAACACTCGGGCGGGTAACTTGGAAACCTATCCCCAGGCCTGCTGGGAGAGCCAGATCTTGAGGGCTGCGCGGAAGGTCTGGATGGTGGTGAGGGTACGAATCTCAACGGGGAGATCGTTCCACAGGGTCGGAGCTGCAACAGAAAAGGCTCTCCTCCGTGTAGTCGCCAGTCGACATTGACTGGCAGATGGAATTCGGAGGAGGCCCAGTCTGTGCGATCTAATTGGTCGAAGGGAGGTAATCGGCAGGAGGCGGTCTCTCAAGTACCCAGATCCACTACCATGGAGTGCTTTAAAGGTGGTCATCAGTACCCTGAAGCGCACCCGGAGACCGACAGGTAGCCAGTGCAGCTCGCGGAGGATGGGTGTAACGTGGGCGAACCGCGGTGCGCCCACTATCACTCGCGCGGCTGCATTCTGGACTAACTGTAGTCGCCGGATGCACTTCAAGGGCAACCCCATGTAGAGCCCATTGCAGTATTCCAGCCTAGAGATCACAAGGGCTCGAGTGACCGTTGCGAGAGCCTCCCGATCTAGGTAGGGCCGCAACTGGCGGACCAGGCGAACCTGGGCAAATGCCCCCCTGGTCACAGCTGACAGCTGGTAGTCAAAAGTCAGCTGTGGGTCCAGGAGGACTCCTAAGTTGCGGACCCTATCTGAGGGGTATAAAATTCGGAAAGGATCTTTCGAATTGGAAAGCTTTCGGCCTGACTTCTCTTAGATTACCTTGTTTGAAACATGGTAGAGAAAAAATGCAGCACTAGATCACATATGCTGTATCCACTTAGAGGTAACTAGTACTACTTCAGTGGCACTCACTAATAGATGAATGTGCAGAGAATTACATCCTAAAGCAGCGGGATAGAAGAAGCCTGCTAAGAATAAACTCAAAATATTTATTGTTAGCAGACTGCAGAGATTTTCTGGGTACTGATTAATTGATGCTAACAAAATAATAATAGCCTTTCCTCCAAACCCCCTTCTCTCTTAGAAATTGTAGAAGGCAAAAACAGGATGTCAGGAAAAAGGAAATACCTGCTGCTTATTTCTTGGATTCCCAGTTCTGAAAAAATCTCTTTCATAACTAGAATTAAAAAAAACAAAGATCAGGAACACAAGTTTGGCTTATGAATATGGTTTAGTTAAAACAGAAATTAATAAGGTTTGATTTTAGGCTATACGATAAGGGTGATGGAAGGTGGATACCATTTATAAAGGTAAAGGTTCCCCTCGCACATATGTGCTAGTTGTTCCCGACTCTAGGGGGCAGTGCTCATCTCCCTTTTCAAAGCCGAAGAACCAGCTCTGTCCAAAGACGTCTCCGTGGTCATGTAGCCGGCATGACTAAACGCCGAAGGCACATGAAACGCTGTTAGCTTCCCACCAAAGGTGGTTCCTATTTTTCTACTTGCATTTTTACATGCTTTCAAACTGGTAGGTTGGCAGAAGCTGGGATAAGTAACGGGAGCTCACTCCATTACACGGCACTAGGGATTCGAATCACTGAACTGCTGACCATTCTGATTGACAAGCTCAGTGTCTTAGCCACTGAGCCACCACATCCCCTGAGCTACCATATGCATACATAAGCTGTATTGAGTAGCTTAAATATGATTATATTCATTTGGAAGGTGAATCTGTGTTTGAAACAATACTTTTGTCCTTTCAATAGGTTCTAACTATCATGAAATGGAAAGATAATGTTGAACATTTTCCACTGTGCTTAGTATTGTTCTTTTGAAGAAGAGGCTGCTTTAGAGGCACAGCTCTCTTTGCATTTATTTCAAATGTTTCTTTGTGGCCACCTGGAAATGAATGAGTCAATTGACTGAGATGCTTTGGGAATATTTCCTTCCGAAGGGTGGCATTCAAATCTAAAGAAATAAAATAATATTTACGCAGCATCTCATGTTTTCAGTAATTCCATTCCATATGGTACTGCAGAGTTAAGCAAAATGCGAACCAGTCAAACATTTCTGTGGATTTGTTTGGAAGAAAAAATAATAATAAATCTCTTGTTTTAGATAAATATATGAAGATTGATAGCCAGTGGGAGCATCTGGGCTGGAGAAGGGGGAAAATAACCAAAATGTGCATCACAATATCATGATGCAACTTCTACCCCATTTAATAAGTCATGGCTCACACATATTGATAAGGAACAGAGTTGATGTTATCACTTCACGAATGCAGGTTTTGTCATCACAATTGAAATTTCAACTGCTATGGATGCTTTTCTGCTCTTGAATATTCTTATGAAAACTTTAACTAGGCCTTTAAAAAAATAAAGCTAACTGCTTTATTCTTTTCCTTCTTTTCTTCTCTCTGTTTAAATCTCTGAGTTGCAAAGAAACAATAGACAAGATCAGGTAATGGTGGTACTTAAACAAAGGATCCCTGAAATAGAATTTCAATCAGAATATAGAAAATTCTCACTTGGGCTACAATTGGACAATAGCAATTCACCCTTCCATGTGGCATTGTACTCGGATTAACTTAAAGTTTCTCCTTTCCATTTGGGTGGTGCTCATATCAGTTTCTTAGCCAAGGGAGCCAGCACTTCTGTGGTCATGTGGCCAGCATGTCTATATGCGGAGGCACATGGAGCGCTGTTACCTTCCCACCAAAGTGGTACTTATTTATCTACTTGCATTTGCATGCTTTCAAACTGTTAGGTAGGCAGGAGTTGGGGCAAGAATGGGAATTCACCCCATCACATGGTGCTTGGGTTTTGAACCCAGATCGTCAGTTTTCCAGTTGATGAGCTCAGTGTGTCAGTGTGATGAGCTCAGTGTCTTTAACTGCAGAGCCACTGCGCCCCCTTAGATTAACTTAAAAAATAAATGTTGATGAACATTTATATTGCTATGATAGAACATTATACCATCGGCAGTGTTGGAGGTCTTCTGTTATATTGTAATTTCAATTAAGACATAGGCTCTTAGTGCCTCGTCTAACTCTGTTTCCAGGATGGATGGACTGAATTTTATCTGCAATTTTTAGTAGCAGATAAGGACCTCAAAGTAACTCATGCCATTGCAAAGTTTGTTTTTGTAGCTTGTAAAATTTGTACATTGCTTATAGCAAAAGAATGCAAGCGTAATTGTATATATTTTGTCTTGTATGCCTTCTTTTATATATAATATTCTGTAGCTTTACTCTGCTAGTTTATTTAGTAAGTTTTATTTAGTCTGGGTCGCTGACCTGTAATAAAGGATTTGAGAAACATTAGCCATTTTGTTCTTTTCTAAAGCATGAGAAGAAGACAAACTATTCATCTCTGCCTTTTTATAAGATGCTTTCTCCACTTTTTTTCAAAATCTGTCATATACTGTCCCAAAGGTACTTTTTCAAAAGGCAACTGGACTTCCTTTGTTTCTGCTTGAAGATGTTTTTCTTCTCATCCAAGATGCTACTGTTACTACTTATTTTATATAGTTGATTTTTGCTTTATTTCCCTTTTTACCAGAGGTGGTTTTCAGCAGGTCCTGACAAGTTCTGGAGAATCGTTAGTGGAAATTTTGAGTATTCAGAGAACCAGTAAATACCACCTCTGACTGGCCACGGCCCCATCTATTCTCTGCCTCCAAAGTCCCAGCTGATTGGGAGGGAATGGGGATTTTGCAGTAACCTTCCCCTGGAGTGGGGAAGGTGGGGAAGGCAATGGAGATTTTACAGTACCCTTTCCCTGGAGTGGGGTGGGAATGGAGATTTTACACTAACCTTCCCCTCCCATGCCCACCAAGCCATGCCCACCAGGCCATGCCAAATCCACCAAGCCACACCCCCAGAACTGGTAGTAAAAAGTTTTGAATCCCACTACTGCTTTTTCCCAAATTTTTATTAAAGGAAAGTACCATAATTTTGTTGGGTTATAAATAGAAAGAAAGAATTAAAAAAAAAACCTCAGTATTATATGCTGTTTGTTACATGTCTTCCCTCTTTTTTTCTCTCTGGTTGTAAGTAATTTTGCAGGCAGTAGACTTAGAGAGAATAGATATGTTTTCAGCTTTCACTCTGTTTTTTAGCTATTTCTGAGTAGACATGAGTAAAAGAGAGGAGGAAGAAGAAATAGGGCAGGTAATTAAGTAAGCTTACAAAGAGATTTAGACTATTTCTTTCAGAGAAGGAATGCAAGAAAGGGGGAAGTTACTTAATTCTTTGTTTTACTTGTGTCAAATCACTATAGCAATTATTCTTAACAGCAAATTATGAACATGTATATGTGGTAAATGTTTTGATTAAGAGCTGGTTCTATTTGATTAAGAGATTGTTCTAATTTGGAAGAAAAATGTGAGGAGGCAGGATAAAGAGGAATCTAGGAGAAAACTCCTGAGCTTGCTGCTGCTGTCTGGTGGATTGTGCTGCTGGATTTCTCCATGCTTCTCTGTTCACCACCTTCACTCCCAGGTATGAGAGTTGACACCGAATTGAGCTAGGATAGTGCAGATGGGCGGGGGGAGCGAGCGATGGAGTGGCTTCTGGACGGGTGGGGGTGAGTGAGTGAGCGACAGGGCCAGGGCAGGCATTCTGGAAGTTACTTCCAGGTTCACCAGTCGAACCTCCTCTCACTGGCTTGGTAAATTTCACCATCCGGTTCTCTCGAACCGGTGCGAACCAGCAGAAACCCACCACTGAATGCAAGTGAGCCAGATAACAGGGCAACATTGTTTCATAGACTGACCTCAGAACTGACTTTAAAAAAAATCAAAACTAAAATACTTGATAACACTTCACTTTCTCAAGATATGACTCTGCTTAAAAAATATTCAGATATAGCTAGAGAAAAGTACCTTATTTAAAATTTAAAACCACAATATGGTTGTATATAACTAATCACAAGCAGGTGCTGCTAGGAAAAGATGCTCATTGGGCCAGTTCTTTAATGCAATTTTACAAACAGGACTCACAAACAAGATATAATAGAAAATGGTGTGAATTTCTTCTCAACCTCTAAAGCATAACCTCAGAATATGGGCAAAAAGCACATATTTTAACATTAAACAACTTATCTATAATTACAGCAGATTCTAAGATCTGAAGAGGTTGAACTAAAAATATTCTGTATCTTATGCATTATTTTATTCACTACTCTATACAAGTGAAGTGCCTTCTTTTAGAAAGTACATTCTGGGTAAGACTTGCATTTATGCATCAAGGAAGAGCTCAAATGAGTGTAACTTATTTGCATATTTATATATAATGATAACATCACGGTACACAATTTTACCTAATTTAGTATGAAATCTTCCAATATTCTTAGTACAATAAAATGAGTAACTTCTTGAGCTTCTGTTTTATAAAATACTACTGAGTAAAATGATCAAAGACTATATAATAGATTTTAAAACTCAGCTCTATTTATTATTAATCATTTCTATAGCCCTTTTCCTGGTCAAAGTGCATTTCTAAAATTACTGCATTCATTACACTTCAGCAAAAATCTTTTAGGACCCTTTTCTGTAATAATTTATTATTATTCATTTACAGAAAAGCAAAGAGTTGCCCAATGAATAGTAATTTGTGTCCCTCTATCACTCTGATACTAAAGATATTAGAGACAATGCTTATAGTTAGAACATGAACAAATTATCATGTGAGAAATGTCTATGTCATGCTTGCGTTCCTGTCCTACTGTCCCCATTTATTTGAATCCATTTCCTGTGTTCTTATTCATATTTATTCTTATTCCTGTTATCTTGTACATGAATGACCTACTAAATAAATTAAACAAACAAACAAACAAATAAATAAAAATAAGAAGGTAAAGCTGAAGAAGCTTCTTGGATGAGAAGCTAAACGTCTTCAGAGAAAAACCAGAAAGTCCAGTTACCTCATGAAAAAGCATCTTTGGGAGTACCATGTGAGAACTAAATTGATCCCATAACATAGCTGGCTATCAAAAGATACATGAGATTCAAAACGAATGGAAATCAAGGCTCAGGCTATAGTATTTTTGAACTGATTTGGCTGAATGATATTTGCACAGTTCAGTCAAAGATTTGTAAGATCGTCCATGTAAGAAAAGTAGTAAAATATGTTAATGCTGCATAATAGTAACATCTTGAAATTAATCCTTATGTGTAACTGTATGGATAAAATATAAATGCAAGTCACAATATTGAAATGATACCAGATGTGGGAATTGAATTTTTTTTAAAGTATTTTCGCAAATCAAAGAAATCATGATGATCAAAACTTTGAATTCTTGGCAAGGATCTTGACATTTAGTTGAATTTTCATCGTTAAAGATAGTAAGACATATTTGGATGATAAGGTAAAGGTTTCCCTTGCACATATGTGCTAGTTGTTCCCAACTCTAGGGGGCGGTGCTCATCTCAGTTTCAAAGCCGAAGAGTCAGTGCTGTCCAAAAATGTCTCCGTGGTTATGTAGCCGACATGACTAAACGCCGAAGGTGCATGAAATGCTGTTACCTTCCCACCAAAGGTGGTTCCTATTTTTCTACTTGCATTTTTTACGTGCTTTCCTACTGCTAGTTTGGCAGAAGCTGTTACACAGCACTAGAGATTCGAACCGCTGAACTGCTGACCTTTTTGATGGACAAGCTCAGCATCTTAGCCACTGAGCCACCATGTCCCTCATGTATCATTTGATTTATTTATTTGATATTTATTTATTTGATATATTTAGTATCATTTGGATGATACTAAAACATAAATTAAAATTTTTGTCTCATGGAAAATTTACTTTTACAACAATTCTTATTTAAGGATGTCAGTAATATATACATTTAAAAATATGAGCAGAAAGTGGGGTTAATTTCTTAGATCAATTTATAAATAATTGTACAGATAAGATGTCTGATAGATTTAAAAAAGAATGTGACAATGGCAGCTTTGGAAACTCCTATTGTATTTAGTATCTTAATTGACAATTTTAGAGGCTAAATCAATAATTTGTGTTTGATAATTACTGAAGTAAAATACAAGGATAAATACAGATAATTTACAGAAATCTGGAATAAGTATAATCTGAGCTCTAAATAAGGGGTCTTCAAACTTGGCACTTGCCGGTTGAGGAATTCTGGGAGTTGAAGTCCACCAGTCTTAAAGTTGCCAAATTTGGAGACTCCTGTTCTAAACAATAGTAAATGCAATTAATTAGCATTGTTTAAATAAACTTACAAAGTCGTCTCTCTGAAGGATTTATCAGTTTCATTCCCATGAGGTCGTTGAATTCTTTCCCATTAATTCCACCAAAAATATAGAGCTATCAATGGAAACATGTAAGAATCCTAATTAAATAGTTCATTTAAAATGCATTAAAAAGCAACAGACAGAAATCACATATAAGGAAAATATTTATATCATAGCTTTTCTTTTTTAAAAAGATTTTGGACACTCCTTTCCTAACATACATTTCTTAGAGATTATATAGCTATGGAACAAACTCTGCAGCTTCCGCCTTTTAAGCTCAGAAATGGAAAGGAGGGAGGGAGGATCCATGTCCTGAAATGAAAGTGGGCAGGTGAATTTTGCAGTCATTGGTCAAATATTTTTCTTTGGATATCCCAGTCAAGATGGCCCTTAATAGACATTCAGACATTGGTGGAGATCACAGCCTCAGTCTGTAGAATTCTGAGAGCAGATCATGTTCCATTTTTTTGGCTCCAAAGCAGAATTTGTCCTGTATATTTTCATTTCAACAAATTTTAGTGAACAAGATGTGGCTTTATTTAAAACTTCTTTTTTATGCCAAGACACAAGAAAACTGAGTAGTTCATTCAGAGAGCATCTGTGAAAAGTATTTTAATTTTAATTTCTAAATTGACTTCATGCTAGAAAATCTGAATAGATCAGGTCTGTACTGGCTTATATACAGTATTTAAAAATTTCCAGACTGTCCTTTACAAAAGTTCAAAATCCAGTCTCAAAACATAAATCTAAAAATAAAGTTGTACAAACAGTCACACTTTTTCTAATTAGTAAACATTAAACAGCAAGAATAAAAATCAATTAAAAGTGTTTATTACATAGATGAAAACTGCCAAATAATTAAGATATTTATAAGAGGGGATCTCACTGGGGGAGGATCTTCTTGAGTGGACAAAGGTCACTCTTGAGCAATTATGGAAGGACGTGGGAGATGCTTTTGGGTTCATGTGAAAATGCCCTAATCATCCCTACCGTTTTTATAAGCTTAGCATTTTTGTTGTGACTTATTGATTTAGGATACGCCAATAAGTGCAGTGGTGGTATAGTGGTTAGAATGCAGGATTGCATGTTAACTATGCTTATACCCCGGAGTTTGATCCTAATGGAGCTTGAGGTTGATTCAGCCTTCCATCCTTCTGAAGTTTGTAAAATAGGACCCAGATTGTTGCGGGCAATATGCTGACATTTTAAACCACCCAGAGAGTGCGGTAAAACATGCTGGATATAAGTTTAAGTGCTATTGCTATTATGTTTACTACTCTTTAAAAATAAGGACACACAATAACTTTCCCGGCCCATTTTTTTTTCTAAAAGCCATGTTGTTTAAGAATGCTAAGAGTTTTAAATTTAACAATTTATGGGAAGCACAAATCAAAGTAGGTTGTGGAAGATTCTGAACTGGGACAAGTTCAAACAGACCAAAGATGGCAGCTTCTCACTATAAAATTATTTTCACTTACTTGATTGTGGAGAATAAATGCAACATGATTCCATCTGCAAGCTGGAGGGATCCCTATGTACAGTGGCTTCTTCCACTTCATCTGAGCTATATAACATATCATAAATATTTTATTAATAAAATAATAGTAGTAATGCAGCTTCATTGGCAAGACGGAAAAAAAGAGTTTGCAGCACATAGTTATGGTCAATATTCTAAATGTGAAAAATGACTGAATATGCAAGACTTTTTATATAACAGCAAGATATATTGCAGAAAGAACTAATTTCAAAAGCTCTGAAAAACTAGGTAATCTAATTATTCTACTGACTAGCAAGAACAAAGGCAAACAAAAAACACACCCTTTTAAAGAGATTGTTTTCTATGTTTTAAGAAGCTTAATTAATTCAAAATGACTAAAAGCAATCCTCTGTCTCAAATCAAAGATCTACTGCGACAATATTGGGAGATTAACGTGAAACAAGGAGGAAAAGAAAAAGGAGTGAAGAACAGATAATGCAAGCAAATGACCTCAGTTGTTTCACAGTAGATCAGTACAATGAATCTGAAATCAATGCATGTTACCTTTCAGTTGTCATTTCTTTCAAAATGCTATATCTAATCTTATAAACTTAAATTTTACTTAAAATGGTCTTCCTGATGTATTTAATCAAAACCTAATTGAGCTTGAAGATGAGTTGCCAGGGGTGTAGGTATCACAGTGTAGGGCAGGGATGTCTAACACTGGAAACTTGTGGACTGGAATTTTGAGAATCCCCTAGCCAGCCATAATTGGACATCCCTGGTGTAGGGTTATTCCATGGATTCATAATTCCCATTGCCTGCACTTGAATGTTTTTTCCCTTTTATTTTGTGAATCTCCTCTGTATCAAGAATATCCAAAATTCACACTAAATTAGAGCCAGACCTTATCTACTGACATTTTGCTTCACATAACAGATTAACAGAGTTGGAAGGGACCTTGTAAGTCATCTAGTCCAATCCCCCCCCCCCGCTCAAGCAGGAGACCCTACAATCTCTCAGTCCAATCTCTTCATGAAAGTCTTAAGTGATGAAGTTCCCACAAGGTCCGAAGGCAAACTGTTCCATTGGTTGATTGTCCTCACTGTCAGAAAATTTCTCCATATTTTTAGGTTGAATCTCTCTTTGGTCAGTTTCCATCCATTGTTCCTTGTCTGGCATTCAGGTGCTTTGGAAAATAGCTTGACCCCCTCCTCTCCTCTATATCAAGAATGTCCAAAAGTCATACTAAATTGGAGCTAGACTTTTTCTACTGACATTTTGCTTTCATTTGAAGTTCTCATTGTGCTGCTTTCATTATTTCCTTTTTATAGAAAATGTTATTAAAATTTTGAGCAGAACACTAAAAGATAGCACAAACTAAAAAAAGAGAGCAGAAATGCAAGAAAGAAAAAAGAAAAAATATAATCCTTTTTTTCCTCCACAATAGTGACTTCCAACCCCTTGCATAAACAATTCCACCTCTTCACATCCTTCTCGCTAACAGATGTATAACTCTTCATTCCACAAACTGTCACTTAGCAATATAAATCAAATAAATAATGTCCTCCTTAGTCTAGTTATCAGCAAATAGAGCTGTAGAATTTTAACATTAGTTTATATATATATATATATATATATATATATATATATATATATATATA